TATGAGTGGGTCTGATGGACAAGGCCTCATCCATTGCCCACCAGAGCCAACGAGGAGGGTCCCAATAAGGCTTGCACCTTGTCTGGGTATTACAGCCAGCAAAGACCCATATGGGACAGAGTACATCAAACCGTATTACTCTTACTGTGAAATCTTAAAACCAAGGCCCTGGACTGTTCCCACAAATCATCCCGGATGGCAATTCTCCCAGTGGCAGTTTTGAGAGCTGCCAAGGATTCCCAACAAGACCTGTTCTTTTAGAGGAAGGACAGCCCCATGGTTAGGGGAGATGACAGAGCACTTGTCATCCTGATACTACCTCCAGCTGTCATTTTCGTCAACTCACAACCTTTTTATTTTCTTTTTTTTTAATCTCAAATTCACCTACAAAATATTATTAACATTCATTCCCTGGAGGGTCATAAAGTCAAGACCCCTGGGACTTAAACTGAGCTAATGGTAGGAATAGTTGTTAGATATCAGAAACTGTCCCCTAAGCCATCCTAAAAGAAGAAATATCACTTCCACAGTGCCTTCCTAACAGCTTCCAAAGGCTGTTGATTTCCAGAAAGGCTGCTGCCCAGCCCATGCCCTCCATGGCTGCATCAGGAGAGGGCACAGCTGGATGGAGTTTAACAAATCCCAACACTGCAGAAGCCCATAAATACTATAAAGGGAGATTTTCTACAGAATTCTACAAGTCCTCCCAAGTAATTCTACACTTCCCAGCTGTTTCTCTGAAAGGACTGCTTGAAGGAATTCCAGAACGTGCTCCAACCACAAACCTTCAGTAGTGCCTCCTGATGTTAGGAAGCCAGTACTCGCTGCCCACCAAGTGCTTCACCCATACAGGGACCATCATGCAAGGCCTGAGAATCTAGCACAAAGAGGGAGTAGGAAAGAAGAAACGGTCTTTTCAAATAGTGGGATGTTAGGATAAACAGGAAAAGTGAGTTTCCAACCATCCCACTTCGGGAGGAGGTAGCATTTTTCTCTCATGCTGCTTTTCAAAGAGAAAGGCCTAAAGATGCTGAGAAGGTTGGAAGAGCTAAGGATAGGGTACAACATAAATGCATAATAACCTGTAACATGGCTGTGACTTGCTGCTGCAGGTAGCTGTGGGATAAAAGAGACCAGGCAGGCACACTGTACTAGTGTGGCTGGGACAGCTACCTTTAGCAGCACAGGCTCCTCTGCTCCAAAATGCTCTGGTGTGTTTCAAGGTTCCACTCCTGCTTCCACTGCAACATCTCAGATGCTAACGTGTTTGTGGCAAATATTCTAATTCGATCTTTCCATCAAGTAAACACACTGCTTTCATCTACAGGGCGAAGGAACTGCATTGGAGAAAGTCTTGCCAAGATGGAGCTGTTTGTCTTCTTCGTAGGGTTGCTGCAGACATTTACTTTTCAACCCCAGCCTGGAGTCTCAGAGTCTGACTTGGACCTTACTGTTCCCCAAACTACTTTCACATTAAGGCCTCAGCCTCAGGCAACCTGTGCTGTCCTGCGTGAATAACCACAGCCTTGCTGAAGAGCAGCCCAACGAGTGGGAAGCTGCTTAGACCCAGCTTAGCTATGCTAGGACTCACCACCCCCCATCCTGCCACATCACCCTCTTTCACATCCCCTTCCCACTGTCTCCATCTCCATTGCTCTCCAACACTACATCTGCTCCATAGGTTGCTGACCCCCTCTTTGCTCCTGTGCTGCGAGGGGTGCGTACGATCAGTTAGAAACCATGATCATGGTTGACAAACACACACTTCTGCTCAAGACAGACTGTGCATGGAGCCAATGGAGGGACCAAGGAGGTGGTCTGGTGAAGGGGATGCAGCCCACAAGTAGTAGGTGGGACACCCAGGCTCCCATGGCAAAGCAGTGACGTTCATAACGTTGCAGAAATCTGCCTGAAATCCTGAGAAAAGATGCACCAACATTTGCTAAAAGCCACAGAAATACACTGTGGATCACACACTTGAATCATCTCTAGGTACCTCCTGAACTTTTCCAAGCTTCCTAATTATGCATAGTTTCTAGAAATATCCTACCAGGCTAGGCAGACAAGTCAAACACCGGGAGTGAAAAACCAGATCAATTCATGGGATGGGACAACAAAGTCATTTCTACCTTGGAACAGTGTCCTGAAAGGTGCCCCAGCGTCTGCAAACCCATTTAGATAAGCAAGTGCGGTTACTACCAAGTTCAACACTGCTTCACAGTCTGAATGAGAGAAGATCTACATTTCTAAGTTTGCAGTGTAAATCATAAGGCCATGTGAGATTTGAACCAGCAACTGATCATAAAAGGCTAATGGTACAGAGCCACTTCTAGTTTTATGGATCTCTGCCTTTCCTGACTTTGTTAAATAGGAGCAAACACTGTTCCTCTGTTCGTACCTCCTGGGTAACGCTAAGAGATGACATCAGCAGTCAGTCTGGTGTTTGGGATGGTCTGGCCATTGGAACCAGCCATGCAATTTCCTTGCAAATGGTGTTTAATTTCACAGCGCTTGTGTTGCACACAAACACACGTAAGGAGAATTGGGATCAGGGATTAGACAAGACCTGGTTTGGGTTGTTTGTTTTTTTTTTTTTCCTTTTGTCTGGCAGTTATCCCCTTCTGTAGCACTCTTATCTGCCATCGTATTCCACAGTCTTATTCCAGTTGATGTATAGCTCAGGCAATTTTTCATCCATTTATCTGCCTGTGAATTGCCACTTCTCCATATGCATTTTCTTATCATGTGCTTTATCATATTGTTTGTTTCCCCCTTCATGGGAACCAAATAAAGTTTTAATCCCATGTTTTCATTATATTTCATATGCCTGCCACCCATCTTTGCATTACACAGAAATGCAAATATCATGAAAGATTGATCCTGAGCCCAGAGTGACAACAAACACTATCGTTTTACTTGTAGCTCACAGGTGAGAGGTTCTCCACACCCTCATCCTAGTGAAAACCAGCTCAACAGGAGACCCTCTGTATCTGCAGAGTGGTTTCTCCAGGGCAAAGTACTTTCCCTTTGTGCTCAGCTATGGGCTACTAGTCAGCCCTGGGGATAGCCTTGTTTTTTCACTTTTATGTCTTTAACGCTTGCTTGCAGAGGCTGAATGAAAGGTTGCCATCATAGCTTCACAATGCTGGTGCTATCCCTCTGTTTAGTGCCTTGGACCCTGAGCTCTTACCTCCTGCCCTCCCAAAGCATCAGCTGCTGGCAATGTCACTCTTGAGGAGTGGTGGGCAGCAGGATGGGGTCTTCTTCAGGGAGGACAGGGAGAGACAGGTAAAGCAATTGAGGAGCAAGCCACATATCAACTGAAGGAAGGAAGTCTTGGCCTTACTGAAATTAAAAAAAAAGACTTTTGCCTTTGGCTTCAGAGAGGCCAGGACTGTTCCTGCTCTAGCCCCCTTCAAAGGTAATATGAACTCAGAAGACAGATATGGCAACAATCTAGTGCTCCAGGGGACAAAACAGGGCTGGGTTCAAATCTGCACACATTCACTGGTGGAACCTCAGCCATGACCCCTTGCTATGGGCTCTCAGGTTCTTGCCTTTGGAGGAGAGAGATGGATCCCTTCCTACACCCATAGCAGCCTTCAGGCTCTGCCCCTTTTGGACACCACCTTCTCCACTGGCACTCCCTGGCAGGCAGAGCAGCGCCTGCAGCAGTGCTGGCTGTGTACAGAGGTTCAGCAAACTGAGCAATACCTGTGCCTCAACAAGAGCCATGAGTTACCAGGTGCAAACATCCAAGGAAAACAGATTTATCTGATTCCTTTGAAAAGTGCATCCTACTTGTGCCTGCGTTAGCAGATGGATGGAAGTGATATGAATTAGTCAGCTCTGCAAAAGAAAGTGCCTGCCTCTCATTAATTTGCTAAGCCAAACGATGGCAGAACATTGATTATGTTTCAGCTACATAGTTATCCAGCAGAAAACACTGGCTCTCACAGGTGGAAATACCATTTCTACATTCCTCAGCGGCCCTCCGGGTCTTCCCTCCAGCTGCAAAACATGTTTGTGCCTTGCAACACACTGACCTGAATTGAAGGCAAATAACTTGGGGCATGACAGGTGGCTTGATTTTTAAAGTAAGATCTGAACAAATCCAACTCACACTGTCTGTGGCTCATGCCACGTGCAGCCGGCCGGGCAGCATGTCCCACAGCCCAGCCTGCCATCCCTAGCACGGCATGATGCTGGCACCAGGGGGTCCTGCTCTCAGAGGGGCAATGATCAGGTGCAAGGATTGCAGCAACTGTATAGATCTGTAAAACGAGGGCTGCCTTGTGTCTGCAGGCCTCCTGCGCGCTGGCCAGAGCAATAAGCATCGTGCAGAATATGATTTCTATTTTCTTTTTGCCACGAGATGGCACCAAGATCCCTCTGAGTCAGAGACAGCCCAGCCCGCAGTTCTTACTGGGGTAAAACGCCCTGACAGCCACAAATTCGAGCTGTATAAGCAGGGCAGAGCTAAACCTTGAGGCTTTATGCACCCCCAGTCCAGCTGCATTCACCTGCGAGCAAGGCTGGGAGCAACGACCTGTATTTACCATTAACCTGGAAGAATCAAGTGGTATGCAGGGAACAGGAAAAATTTTCTCCTCCCCATCCTACAGCAGACAAGGATCCCGCCCAGGGATTAACCAGCTCAAACATTTTGTGGGACAGTGGCTCAACCCACCCCCCACTGCAGTCCTCTCAGACCCTTTTGGCCTCCACTCAGCATTTCAGACCAAGGAAGAAGCCAGCTGCTGCAAGAGAGTCCTCCTGCCCTCCCTGATGAGGGGACATGATGAGGCTCCGTCTCTAGTCATTTCAGAGGAGGAGGAGAAACAGGAATGTCAGGAAAAGGGAAGGTCCTAACAAATCCTACTGAAAGCTGGGAGAAGTAAGGAAAGGGGAGATGTCGCTTTGCCCAGATCTGCCCAGCTTCTCTGCTGCTTCAAGGAAAAAGCATTTTAGAAGCATTTTTGCAATGTTTGCATGCTTGCTGTTCACACATGGTGCTCGGGAAGTTCTGCTTATCTATCTGAGCTACCTGTGTAAAAATGTTGGGAGGGTCTTCACTTGTCTGGAGAGCTGTTAAGCCCCACATCTGTGCAGGCAGAGCAGAGCCTGTACCCAGAAGCGGTCAAATACCACCTAAAATGTCCAGGGTTTGGGAGATATCTGTGATTCAAAATCAGAAGTCTGGAAAGTGTTGTAAGAGCATCCATCAGACACAGAAAGTGCAGTTATTTGGGAATAATTTATCCCATGTGCAGTAGAGAATGGGAAAAGAGCAGGGATTAGACGATTTGTATCTAATATTACTCTCCAAGGGAAGAAATGATCCGCTCTTGAGAAGCAACCTCTCCCTGAAGCTCAGAACTAAAATAACTTTTTATGTTGTGTATTTGATGTGTAAAGTAGTGGCTGTCCTGTTATTTCCAGTCATGTATCTGGCTGGAATTTTCCAGGTAACCTTACACACCAGCCGCCTTCTGCTTCTTAGAAAAATATTTGTTCAAGAGATATTTTAAGCATATAGCCAGTATTTGCAAGGCTTTAAGACGCTATTTGTATCTACTGCACAGGGATCTGGTTTCTCCTTTGTGCATCTGCCAGGCTCTGCACAAAATAATTATGTGGATTTTTCTCATTTCAGAGCCTTGGGCTTATTGGCGTAGCACAGCGCAGGCACACTGTGGATGGGGTCTCATGGTGAATCCAGCCTCTGCAGTCGTGTCCAGCTCAGATTCTTTAACCTCAGGTGGAGGTTTAAAAGTAAATTTCTGGAGCAAGCCTGTGAAGAAGATGAAGAGCTCCATCGTGGCAAGACTTTCTCCAATGCAGTTTCTCCGCCCTGCAATGCCAAAAGCATGGCTGTCAGTGCAGTGACTGGGTAAGTGGTTGCTCGCCCTGACACTTTTTCCCTATTCCTTGGTAGCAGTAATGTGAGGGACAGTATAGGCCTCGGAAATGCAAAATAGCATGGTGTGTTATTCAGCAGCCATCACTGCCAGTCTTCTATAGGCATTTGAACAGGGCTTTTTCACTCTGAGCCTGCAAGGAATTGATCTGTGATACCCTAGAAACCAGCCTTCCCAAGGCAGAGGGAAGGCTGAACTTTTGCTTGAAGGCATTGAGTCTTCTGTAGGACCCAGTCTTTAGACACGAGGTCCTGGTGTGCCTCCGAGGTGGGCTGAGGGGCTGTTTGTAAGTCAAAACCCGGAGAGGGTATTTCCAAACCATCCCCACTGCTGATGTCTGTGCTGTTCCCAAGGGGGGCTCAGTCCTGCCACTTGGCTAATATCTTCTGAGGGGCACTTGGAACTCGGTGCCCCATGCATCAGATGCATTTGTTACCTGTGGAGAAGGGCAGGAACGCTTTCTTCTTTACAAAGTTCCCATCCACATCGAGGAAATGGTTGGGGTTGAACTCATCTGGCGTCTCCCATTGTGTTTTATCCAGCAGCACAGAGGTGAGCAGAGGAATCACTGTTGTTCCCTGCAGCACAACCAAGCTCTGCTTTAGCATGTGTGGATGTAGTCAACTTCTGGCTTTGCCCATTCAGCTGCATCATTGTTTCTCCCTTCGGGCTGTGTCTGCAAACAAACTTCTATCTCTGAAGAACTGATTTCTGGGCTTGCACATGATCAAATGACCCTCCGTTAGTGTGAATACCTAGTTCATTGGAATTACTGACTAATATGTGATTAAATAACAACAGTTGTTGGCTGTTCCTGAGTTATGAAGCAGAAGAAAGGTGTGGGCCAGGCTTCCTTCCTGCCCAGCTGCTCTCTGCTTGCTCAAGCAGGCAACAAGACAATGCCATGGTACTCCAGAGGCAGAAGTGCTCTACAGGGAATGAATGGCAATGGAGAGTTACGAGAATAAGGCATAGACTCCAGATTACAAAGACTGAGTTAGGGGAAATAGGAAGCTGTGTGCATAACCCTGAAGTCACACTGCTATCGTTCCGGGCATGAAGGAGATGGGGATCTAGGGAACTGACTCCTTCCCACCAAAAGCCCTGTTCTTCAAGCTCCCCCACTCCTTGTGACATTTTGCCCTATGGGTCACTGGTGTGCTGCACCCCGCTCTTCCTCTGGAGAGCAACAAGTACCTTGGGGATGAAGTAGCCTTTAAAGTGGGTGTCAACAGAGGTGCACCGTGGAACATGTGGCAGGAGGGTGACAAATCTCTGCACCTCGTGGATCACTGCGTTGGTAAATGGCATGTTTTTCCGGTCCTCAAATGTAGGCAAGCAGCCAGGGCCAAGAACTCGCTCAATCTCTGCATGCACCTTTTCTGCAAGGGAAGGAAGAGCAGAGGAAAGGCATGAAGTGAGTTTCCCTCAGTGGTAAAGCACCTCCAGATCCCAACTCTTGCTGACTGTTGGTTGCACTACCCCAGGGCAAGAGGTTGCCCAGACCCTGGGAGCAGAGAGAGAACAACCCCTCAGATGCTTTGGTCCTGAACGGCAGCATATAATGTTTGGACAGAGTGGACGGGTTCCAGATTTTGGATGCATGACAGGCTATGAAGGTTTTACAGGTGAGCATCACTTATGAAGTCACTGCAGAGTACTTCAGTACCCTACATAAGAAAAGCAAAACCATAAAGGTGTCTTACTTTGAATCTCAGGGTACTTCATCAGCAGAAGGATGGCCCACTGCAATGTCGTGGATGTTGTCTCAGTGCCAGCCATGAGCAGGTCGAGTGCAGAGGCCAATATATTTGCATCATGAAAAAGAATATCGCTTTTATTTTGCTTTAGGGAAAGAAAAAGGAAAAATCACTGCTGTTAGCATGGAAAGAGAGAACTAAGATAGGTGATCTAGTCTCCAGAAACATTACAGTGGGATGCATGTGACTCATAAGTGCCAAGATGCACTGCACTGACGTACCATTACAGAAGTGTTACAGTTTTCAGAGGAAATATTTTCACACTTGAGGTTTTACCCCCAAAAGTGAACTAAATGGACAAATTCATTGATTTTCCAACATCACATGACATTTACCTGCTCTGAGCAGTGGTTATCTGATCGACTGAGGACATCTATCCCCTGCTTGTGGATCCTGAGAAGGTAGAAAATCGAGAGGTGCAGGACCGTGCCTTCCCACATCAGGGAGCTGGGGTGTGTTTAGGTGTGTGCCAGGCCCTCTTAGGAAAGCCATGAAGGCCCAGGACACCACTGGCACACCAAGTCTGCTGTCTCTGCTTAGTGCTGCTGATGGGAAACACTTTGCCCATTCCTGTGTGCAACAGCTGAGGCGCTCACACAAGGTGTCAAGCTCAAACACCTGTCCTGCCCACCACCCGTCTCAAGTACGTGGGTACAAACACTTGGAGAAAAAGGGCACACACAGACTGATACTTCCTTGCTATACTCCCACACTATCATTCCTGTTGGTAAATCTACTACGTGGGACCTGGTGATGTGTTTGCACAAACGCAGTGGGAACTTCTGCATCTTTGCAACTGGGAATCTGTTGCTTCTTCCCATGCCCATAGGAGGGATGCATCTGCCTGGAGTGTGCTGGACAACTGACATTATGACATTACAAAATGACATGACCTCTTTCTCTCTCTCCAGCAAGGAAGGGATTGTAGCTGACACCTGAGGACAAGTTTTAGACATTCATGCAATACTGTCTACTTAATTATTTCTTGCTTTTCCTTCAGTATGCAGTATTTAACATACCCAAAATGTAAATATTTTCAAATAGACCATAGTGGAGCATGTTCATTAGAGAAGCAACACAGGGCATCTCTGTATAAGATACCGCATTAGGAATTGTCATATTGTTAAAATACCTCTTGTTTGAATACTAATGCATCAATGTAGCTTGTCAGGTTGTTTTCATTAAGACTTTCTTTGCTTTCCTTGATGTGCTCCTTTAAGATCACACACACCTCTTCTACTTTTTTCAGTATCATCTTGTGAGGTTTGAGAAGAAATCCAAGGAATGGGTAGAAATTAAATAACTAAAGCAAAAAAAAGGAAAAAAAATCACAGAAAAAAAAATAAATTCACCCATTACCTTGTAAGACTCAAGTATCATAATAAAGAAATCATTTATGTGAGGAACCAGATGACATGTGATTGGAGTCTCTTTTTTGGTAACTAAAAAATTTTAACGTATAAAAATGTCTCCTCTTACTAAAAATTCTCTACAGAAATGAATGGAGCCTATCAGACTTGTCTAGACAGAGCCTATAAACACGAATTAAAAAAAATACAATTAAGGGAAAGTGATAGTAAACTCATGAAACAATGAAATTACATTTTTAAAGAGGTAATAAAGCAAAAAGATAAAGCGTTACACATTACACAAAGAAAACTCCAAATGTTTAGCAAGCCAAAATACTTATGTTTTAAAGTTGTTAGATCATCATTTTTAACTTTCACATGAATTATAAATCAATTACACTCAGTTCTCAGCATCGTTAAATTTCACAGCACAATAAACAGTTGCATTTTATGTGCAGGGGGGTTACTTACACCATTCCTCAACGTTATAAATAAACTGGCTGCAGAATAAGATTCACACATCTCTTGCTAACTGGTTATAATTTTTGCTGTTTTCTGCAAAAACTAAACCTGATGTAGGGATTAAAAGAAAAGGGATGTTGTACTGTTGTAAATGGTAACTATTGCAAATAGTTCTCATACCAGTGATAAATTCATCAGCATCTTTTAACAGCTTTTGAGATGACTGTTTCAATATTACCTTAAGTAACTAATACTCTATTCCTTGTGATGGAGGATTAAGTTTAACAAGAGCTCTTGAGGCTCAGATGAGAGTCTCTTAGTTGGATTACTCCTATTTTTATACAGCTCCATTGAGCAGGTATTGATTAAACCACCACAGAAGGTATGAGAGGTCCATATATAATGTCTGCAGCTCTGTACTTTCTACTACTACTCTGTAACTTCACTAGTTTCTTAAACTGTAGCAAAACCCCTTAGTAACCCCCAAATACACTTGCAGTTGTCCCTAAGACAAGAGGTTACTTTAGGATGTTCATAAAACATTCACCAGAAAATAACTGGGATGAGCCTGGGTTATTTTTCTTTGTGCATGCACAAATATGGTCGTTATTTCAATAGTTTCATCACCGGTGTATTTTTAAAGAAACAAACTCTGGCCATGCTCTCCAAGAGGTAACTGATTCCCTTCTGTCTCTTCCACATGCACCTTCTTTGGACCAACAATACTAGGTAGTAGGAGATGCTGGCATTCTGTGTTTTATTTTGGGTACTGCTGGACAAATACTGACCAAAAAGCAAAAAACCATCAAAAAACAGGTAAGCAGAGTCCTTCTGAACTCTCTGTCAAAAGTGCTACAAACATTTCTGAGACAAACTTCAGGAACATTTTCCTGCAGCTACTGTGAAACACCAAAGACAGAAGGCTGCCCAGATCCCAGTCCTACACTGGGGGCTGTTTCCTCATGAGAGACAGTTCACCGTAAACTGTAAAGTTGACAAAATAATCTCACTAAAAATAATAACATAAAGGGCAGAGTCTATAGCCCTTCTGTGGATTTCCACTGCTGCTCCTGGACGCTGCTCACCCCGAGTCCCACCATGCTGGAAGCCTCAGTTATTGCCCCTTCTGGCTGTAGAAGAATCAAGCAACACCCCTACTGCTGCAAGGTCACACCCGCATCTCAGCCCAGTGCTACCATGTGATGTTTGACCTCCTTTGCAACAGGATTCCATGAGGGAAGAAAAACCCCAAACAAGAATCTTGTCCCTTGGACTAGATGATCTTTAAAGGTCCCTTCCAACCCAAACCATTTTTATTCTTATATTTCAGTACCCTGAAGATACTCCAAAACCACCCAGTAATAGTAAGTCGGCTTGACCTACCAACTCCAATGAGATACTGGACATCTTGTCCCAGAGGGTAACTTACATGCAAGAATGGAGAGCCAAGAAGGTGCATAACGTCATCTATGAGTCTTAACAGGGTGAGAAACGTTGGGTCTTCATAATCAAACCTTCTTCCAAAGAGAATAGCAAAGGTGATGTTGGTGGGGGCCATATTCAAAAATCGTAATTGAAAGGGTCCACCTAGAAATGAACAAAATCATAACTGTATTTGTCATTTCTGGAGCAACCCAGAGGTCTTCACAGTGGATTTATAAAGTAGCATGAAACACTCAATGCCATCTCCAGCTCACCTTTGAAGGATCTGATCAAATCAATGAGAAAGTGAAGCTCCTCAAGCATCCTTTCTTCTCCAAGGTGCTTCCCCATGCCAAGATCCCGCATGGTGGCTATGGTGAACCGCCGTGTCGTCTTCCAGAGCTCTTGAGAAGAAAAGAACACACCTACAGAGGGATTGAATGCCCTGTTTGCCAAGGTGGAACAGGATTTTCTCAAAAACACCAAAAGCACAGCTGGGCAGTGCAGTATTTTGCAAGCTGGTGGAGCCTGCTTGGGAGAGGACTGGGAGGCTCTTTGGGGAGCTGGCTTGGGAAAGCACTGCCCCAGGTAGGTTCAGGAGCGCAGGAGGCAATATTTTAAACAGCTGGGTGCTATTCACACCAAAGCTCTGAGTTTGGCTTGTTTATAGCTTTGTCTCTTTGCAGCCATACACAGTAAAAAGCTCTATGCATGGTCTTGGTCTCAGCCCGACTTGTTTTTCCTTAGAAAAATGACCCAGCTGTTTCAGAGAGCAAGGCTAGGAGCAGATGACACCACTCCATCCCCGTCATGAACAGGACAAACAATTTCACTGAGCAACTTGCGTTTTAAAGGACGAACTGTTCACTGTGCAGGGGGACAAGGAGGGGTAGCAGGGATGCACCTTTGCTTACAGCTGGGGAATACCCCCCAGCTGGCTAAACCATCAGCTAAAGTGCTCAGTCAAGAAGGCCCGGAGGTGTTTGGATACAATTCAGAAGTCCTCCCTTCCCAGGAGGGCTTCTAGGACTGAACATAATCTACATCTTCATATGGTGGCTGGCAAAGTAGTGCAGTGTACCCTTCCTCACACTGGGCCTCACTCTTAAAAACAAGATAAAAAAAAAACCCCACACGCTGTATGCATTATATACATATTAGGTCATCAAATATTTTTCTTTCAGCCCTGGATTATTCCCTTCATTGTTTTTCAATGTCTAGTCTTGGGCAATGTATTACTTTTTAGCATGCGATTCAGAAACATGCCAAAAATCTGTTTACAGAAGTAATTGTTTGAGGTACAAACAGCCCGTGTTATTGCACTCTTGCCAGTTCTTGAAGTCTTTATCATGAGTCATGCGTGATCCACGCTTTGTCTGAACTCCCAGTAACTGTAGAAAAGAGATTGCATAAGGACTTCAGCCTTCACATTGTGAAAAATAATTTCCTTCCCTCTGCACTGCAAAAAAACCCACCTTGAAATGTGACCCAAGTGCCAGTAAAAGCAAAAAACTGATAAGGCAAAGAGGAAGATCCCCAGAAATATTTTTTTAAGAAAACAAACAACTGCCCCCAAGTCCCACAAAATGTAGCCCTTGACGATAAGGATGCAGTTCAAGACTCTTAAATATTGTTGCAATTGAAACAACACATTTGAGAAACAGCATAGCAAGCGCATCCTTATTTTCTCAACCTGCCAGTACCATTTCCATGTTGAATGTGATAAAATATGGGTATAGCTGGTCTGTCCTCAAACACATCTGCTGTGTTCAGAAGGGCATCCTTTACTGCCTCGTAGCCAGTGAGCACCACCACCTTCTGAAAGCCCAAATGGACAGTGAACACAGGGCCGTATTTCTCTGAAATCTAGAAGGAGAGAAAAATCAGAGCATGGAAATCAACAGTGGGAGTGGTATGTCCTGCTGGAGTGGCTCAAGAATTGTCTTCCCTCCTCCTTCTGTGGCCAGAAGGGGTGGAGGCATGCCAGAGATAAAGCCCTGAGATACTGAAATGAAAGAGGAATCAAAGCAAATAACACTGGTCTTTTTAACCCAACAACTTCCATAAAACTCCTGTTTTTCTGAGCTGGTTGGACACAGGTTGGCCCAGTGGATTAAGAGGCAGAAGGTAACGAGACACTTTGGATACCAACAGCAGCAAAAAAGCATCACTGAGATCTGCCAGGCAGTTACTGAGCAACTGCTGACGGGTCAGGCTGTAATGCCACGGTCCACCAAAAGACGATGGAAGAGCAGAGGCATCCTTATTTGTTATTAGAAGTTAAAAGATTTGTTGTAATTAACGCGAAGAGGTATATAACATGATTCACCAGGGACAGACACAGGAAGACTCTTTCAAAATTTCAAAATTGCCTTACAAAATTACCACAGTACCACACTCAATTTTTTATTTCTGCTATACCATTGTTTTCAAACCACTTGCACAGTGGGAGTTTATAGTGAGATCTGAGATACCAGGTAGCAGGAGCTCTCTGGAGGCTCACAAACGTGATCCTGCCAGGCCTTACATGGAATCAGAACTTGACTGAGGAGCAATGGAGTTGAAACTGCATAAAGATACCGTGAGATAAAGCCTTGTGTCCCATAAAAGGAGACCAGTTCTGGCAATGTACATCAGAGGAGGCTCCAAAGCTTAGCAACCCCCACCGCTGGACCAAAGCAAACAGGTAGCTCAGGCAGAGTCTAATCTGTGCTTCAGCAATATAGCCAGACTTGTTTTATTTATGAAAAAAAAAATATTCACAGGACACTGATTTCAATAATTTGCTCAAAATAATTTTCAGTTGCTGCATCATCTACTGTACTTTCATGGGGAAATCCTTTAGGGATTCTCCTTTTGGGGATGATTTTCTACTCCAGCTCCTTTGTCTGCTAATACCTTAAAAGTCTTCTGGCAAGTCAGCTTTCAGAGCATTACTGCAGTTCCACAAGCCCAATATAAAATCTCACCTCACCTGTAGCTGCAGCCTGGAGGACTCTCTCACTGTCCTCTGCCCTTTGCCGTCAGGGCAGAGCAGACACAGTCTGGCTCCAAAAGGCAAAGGATGGCAAGAGAGGCCTCCGGACTACAACCACCGCCCCATTTCCCAGCTGGTTTCCGCAGCAGACCCCTTTCCCAGTTGACTTCTTGATGCTGTACTTCAAGAGGAGAAAGAAGGCATCGGCATGGCCAGTGTGCCCAATACCTTTCCCTTGAGTCTGTGCTTCACTAGGATGTTATCACCTTGCTCTTGGGTCTCAGGTCACCTCCTTTCCAGCCTCATCTTTGCTTATTCTTCCCATCACATCCATGCACAACCCCAGAACCCCTTCTCCATTACCCTCCTCTGCAGAAGAATTTCTGATCTTGCCAGAAACAGGAACCATAGTCCAAACTGTTTCCCACCTCCCGTGCTCTGGGTGTTGAGCCTTCTGTGAGCTGGCTGGTGTAAGATGAAGATGCATCTCCACAGGCACCTTGGAGGCCCTTCACATGGCACGGTGATGGGAATGAGACAGGGAAAGCCAGCTCCTTTTCTACACAGTACTAAGCAGGTCAGAGGGCTGCTGGCAACCTGATGGCTTGGTGTAAAGTGCAGGATACTCACACCCCATGTCCTGACATGGAGAATGCCTGCTGAGCCACACTTTGGCTCTGAGAGACTAAATACATTGAAATTTTCCCTTTTTTTTTCCTGGAAGACAGATGTGAAGCAACTATGACTTCTACAGAGAACACTGTCTTGCATAAGTCCAAGTCATTCACTGCTTCAAATTATTTCTCCTACATCTCTTCTTTGGGCTGTACGATATTAATTCCCATTCTTATGAAAAACTGGCAACAGAAATAAGAAATACAAGCTATTTTGGCAACCACAATTAAACATCCATCTTTCAGTTTGGCTGTGTGGACACTCAAATATTTTAAAGTATTGCACAACACAAGGAAGATGCCAAAATTTAGGTCCATCAGTCTGATCTGATGTAAATGCTCGTAGTTTTCAACATCTGAGTAGTTCTCATGTAAGCACCCTCTGCAGAATTGGAATTTAGCAATTTCCTTGGTCTCTCTGAAACCTTTAAAGCAACACAGTTTTTTAAAAACACATTTGGCACCAAAAATCATCTCAGAACTGTCACCAGAGAAGAATTTTAAATAGGAACATGCTGACATTCAACACCCTAGAAATGAAGGACACTTGTCCTTACCTTCATTAGTGACTTGTCTTGCCTTCTTATGTCCAGCAAATGCAGGTTGCCAATGATCGGAAGAGGAAACGGACCAGGAGGCAAATTTAAAGCTGATTGCTTAAAAACTTTTAAAACATAGAGTGCAGCTGATAAAAGCAATGTGCACACCCCACAGATGAAGAGCGGTATGAAGGCAGTCATATTTTGGTGGAGCTTGACTTTCTGGAAAGCGATCGAGACACCTTTATTAGAATCCTCGCATTATCGCATTGTATTTATCCAGAGTAAATGATGTCAGGGCTTCTGCTGCACTTTGCACAATCTTCACCTCCACCCCCAGCTCTCCACAAAAATTGGAGTTTATACCTGTGAAAGGCAAAGTCCAAGTACAACTCATGGAGGCCAAGGCTTGCAGACTCCCTTTCAAACGCAGCGGGGCAGGTTTGCTTCTTTTCCAAAGCCTAGCTTAGATTCTTCCACCCGTAATAACTTCCCAGTGTCTGGGAATCCCATGTCTGCTTCGTTATTAGCCATCGATCCTACCATTCTTCTTAAGATTTCCTCTTCATCCCTCTCTTCTATCCCCTCCATCTAACCTCTTCTCTGAACACAAACAGCTCTTTACTTTCTGCCTTCTAGCTCTTTACCATACAAACACTGATTCCAAAATAATCCTTCAGGGTAGACAATCATTGCTTATCGCACGGCAGAGTGAAGGAGAAGCAGGTCCTGCAGGCGAAGAGACTTGCTCCAGCCCATGCATGAAGCTGGGTGGACAGCTGGAGGGTGGACAGCTGGTGGACAGCATCTTCCCTCCTCTTCCACCTTCTTGTGTCCTTGCAGTGAAGCAGTTTCTCCCAGTGAAGGGAAACAGAACTGGGTAATCTTTACATGCAAAAAAATCAGGACCGATTTGTTGCCTCTGCAGATTTGGAGCTCTGCTGCTTGTTTCCATGCTCTTCCTATTTATTGACACTGAATCTGGGCTGTCCTGAAGGCCTATATGGTATGCAGATAGAAAGCTACTCCTCCTTACGTCAGCCTGGCTTAAATGCTTTGCCAGCCCAGTGTAAAACACCTAAGGCGGCACCTCTCCAGTTCTTGTTCTTCTTTACTGTGGACTACATTATAGAAAGCTCAAGAAAATGCAGAGTTGCTGACCTTCTCTTGTTTTTTTCCCCATCAGAGGCTGGTGAAAAACTAATTCACTGCTGCAAACTCCAAAGTCGTAGTGCAGTGTCATGCCTCCCTCCTTCTTTGGTGGGTCTTTTAGTGAGGGGCTTTTCTTCCAGCTCCCCATGCAATGTTAACTGGTACCATTTTCACTCTATACACACCAAAAGGGATATAAAAGTCATGTCTTGGGGAGCTGGATTACTGAATCAATATGAATGTGGAAGGTTTTGTAAAAGAGCTGTTCCCACTGTTTTCTGGCAGTGTCTGGCAGAGTGAGAACTGTCAGAGACATTAGTAGAAACACACATCACTTCTGTAAAATTACCCTGATCTCACAGATGATGCATTGGTCCCGTAGGTAGGAACAGAGCATCTGACACCTTCTTTTTGAGGCCTTTCAGATCACAAGGATTTTGTACTGCTCCATGCTGTGCTGTAAGATGGTATCAGTCCTGAAGATGCTTTGAGACTGTTCCAAGGTGCAGCAAGGTTCACACACTGGACACAACGCACAATCAAACCCAGACTCTCCCATCCATTAGAGACAGGCCACAGACAGACTGGAAAGGACATGATCTCAGCTCATACCCAGTCCTCTCTCCAACTGTGCACAGCCCAGGAACCATCCATCCATTCCAAGCCCACTGTGCTACAAACAACAGCATCTGTGGTACGAGCAGGAGACCAGGAGTCTGGATACGCGCCTTTGCTCGGACAATGACTTGTCTATGTGGCTTTGAGGAGTGCAGCGCAGGGCTGGGCATCAGGGCTGGGCTGTGAATGCAGGCGTTGTGCCCGGAGCCCTGCTCCCCTGGGGCTGACTCAGCTCCTACAGCCACCACAGTCATTTCTGGGATGTCTTTTGGGCTGCATGCGGGAAGGAGGTAAGCAGGACACGGTGTGGGAATGCCATCTGCTCATACCGTAAGAAATACCAAAAGCAAGAGGAAGAGAGATGTCACTCTGACACTAAAAATGTCTTAATGATTCCCAAAGGGAAGGGAGCAAGGAAGCAATCAGCCTCGTTCTGTACGCACAGCCAGCCCTCTGCCCTCAGCCTGCCCAGCAGGAGGAAGGGTTACTCATTACCTGCTGGGTGAAGCAACCCGTGAAAGAGGCAAAGCTGGGCAAAGATAACAGCATCTTAGATGGCCTACAAAAACGTTTTCACCTAAGAGATTGAAGTTAAAAATTAAAATTAAAATTAATCTTTATCTAGGAGTAAATAATCTCCCTGGAAAAAATCAAAACCTCTCCATTCAGGGCAGGGTCATGTCACAAGTCACAAGAGAGATTACAGAAAAGGAATCACAGAAAGAAAAGCCTTTACACAGAGTGCCCCGGGACCAAAGCACCCATGGATTTGTAGTTGGGGAAGAAAATAATTCCTTGGGCTGTGTATAATTACTTGGAGGTTGAGCCCTTTCAAATCAGTTACTCTTGGACAAAGAGGACTAGAGAACAGAAAGAGAGGTCTCCTGCCCTGCATCTGCCCTTGGAAACAGCAACAGGCAGGTGGGGTTAAAATTCAGACTGTGATAATCACCATTTCTGGATGTATCCTACTGTAGCTTTGCACAGCAAGGGGTCTCCTGGAGGAATCAGGAGAGAAAGCCTTCAAATCTTGTACTGTGGTTTTTGGGACTACATTTATCAGCTGGATAAATCTGTCCCCCAAAGCAACATCTGGCAGTTTTGAGCAGCATCCCATTATTCACCAGCACATACAGCAGTCACACACTGCTCTCCAACCCTGCAGCAAGGCCCCTTTCACAAGAACCTGTGTCCCCAGCCTCTCCCATAGCTGGACATCACTAAGGAATTAATGTTGCTTCTGGGCATTTGGTGGTAGGAAAGAGTTTCTCTTTTGCTTTAGAGAAAAAGGCCTCAGTCCCAAGCCAGGTTGCCCATTTCTTTGACTCTAGAATATTTTTCAAGGTGAGTACAATGAAATAACCTTGGAGCAGAGGGAAGAGCTCCATCCCCTCCACTAGCACTCTTGGCAGCTCCAGGCTGAAGCTGTTCTACCTGATGAGCACTGGGCTGAGACATTTAATCTCTCCAGGGGCCACTCTGGCAGCAATTCTGCTCTCAGAGCTTTTACTCTTTTCTGAGGCTTCAGGGTTTGCTCTTCATCATCACACTGGGCTCCTCCTTTCCCAGCACCTCTGCCAAATCCAGCTGTAGCACATTTTAAAGCAGATTTCACCCTGCTTTTAAAATTCTCCTTCCCTGGCATTCTCATCCCATCTGCCTGGTCTCTGATCCTTGAAGCTTCAATCCCAGGTTTTAGCTGGTGCTCAATTATGCACAAAGGCAACATGTTTAAGATAAATACTTTTTTGCTCCTCTCTTTATGCATGAAGATTCCACCTTCTTCCCCCCCCCCCTTTCTGTAAAAAACGATTTGCTCCCTGATGGTAACCATGGGCAGCCCTGCCCTTGCCTTCATGGCATTTACCTGCACAGAACTCTGCACATCCGAGCCTGTGCCGCAAAGCCACGTTGCTGTCCCTTAGCACTGTGGGAACAGCCACCTCTGCTGCCCACATGTCCCCGTACCAGCCTGGGACGCATCCTCACACGACCGCTGCCTTCCTGGCATCAGCAGAGCCTGAGACAGCAGTTCTTCCAAGGCAAACACAAAACCATGGGCGGGCAAAGCCTCCCACCTCCACAGTCCATGTTCCTGCACTCTAAACAAAAGGCAACCTTGCTAAGATAAAAAGGTCAGGTGTCCAGGTTGGGTTTTTGAGGTTGCAACCTACAAAACACCATTCCCTCTCTCCACAAGTGGGCTTCTCCTCTCCATCCCTGTCTCCACGTTGCCCCCCTCAAGCAAGCACAGGAGTGCGTGGGGCCATGCCCTGGGAAGCTGGTGGCATCAGCGGGTGGCTGCGGGACCCGTGTGGAGGGCAGAGCGGCCAGCAGGGACCCAGCAGCCCTCCGGCGTGGGTGGCCTCGGCAGCACTTTGCTCCACGGCTGCAGCTTGCAGGCGGCCACAGTTAAAAAAAACTAAGCCCTTTTCCATTTATTTTTCTTGCAAGCTGTGTTTTAGATGTTACCCTGAACGGCCCTTTGAAGCAGCACGAGCTGCCTCAGACCTCTCTCTTCAGCGAATTAACACGTGCCGACAGCCGTGACAGCCTGGCGCGGCAAAGCTGGGGCAGCCCTGAGCAAGCTCTGGCCAAAACCCCACCGCTCAAACCCCTCCGCGCCTTGCACAGCCAAAATGCTGTTGACCCTGAAACTAGCAAGTGCCTTTAAGTCATTCATCTATGCGCAAGCTTTGTCTTCCAGGTTGGAGCTGCCTATCATGAACTTTTGTCTCGTAACAGAGCTCAGGAGCACCAGCTCTTACTGGGTTTGGAGAGGTTTCGGGTTTTCTGTTCTGAGCTGCAGGCCAGGTTTTTGTCAGAGGAAGGTTAAAGTGCTTCAATGGTGTTAAGTGGGATACAAGCTTCTACAGTCCTCTGTAGATTGTCTTTTTAAAAGCTCCTTCATATTTCTTGTTTCTTAGGGTCCATCACTCATTTCAGGGGTGCTAACTGTTCTCCAGCAGCAGCATTTTACCCTTCACTTGAATGTGAAGTGCACTCCAGCTAAAGAAATGCCATTATACCTGGCTTATAGAAGAAAAAAAACAGATGGAAAAGAGAAAAGACTTGTTCAAAGGCCAGGAGACAGTGACAGAAACATGAACAGAATCAGAGTCATCACTAACAGGCGTACCAAAAAGGGCAACACAGTAAACATGCCCCCAGCAAATAATAAAGTAACTCGATCTATCATGATTCAGATATTTTATCACCCATGGAACATTTGAAACATGACCTGCAGCTGCAAAATCCAGCCTGTGGTTTTAATCCTGTGGTCTCACCAGTGGCAAAACTGAGAAACAAGCCCATCTCCATTCAAGAGCTGATTTAAATGAACCTGGACCTCCCCTGGGGGCATTTTAGGGATTTGCAAATTGTAGGGTTCGGAAATGCTAGCGTATCACTGCCCTGCATCACCAGCCAAAGGAGCACCACGCTCATTTTGGGGTTGCAGATTAATATTTAAATTTTAAGTTAAAAAGTAGCAGTATTACCTGACCAGGTT